AAGGCCATGCAGGGTTGGAAGGACAAACTTCCGGAGAAGGGTGCTCATCCATATTAGGTCCTCCTCGTTGGGCAGTGGCTGGAGCTTTGCCGCAATGGCTTGTGTTGGAGGAGGAACGCCAGAGCAAGATGCCGCATTTCTTCAGCTTTCACAACGGCCTCACGCAGCTCTCGGACATGGAGTCGTCGGTGCAGCTTGCAATGGTTCGGGAGACGAAGGACCAAAAAGTGCTGTTGAGAGTGCGGCCGCAACTGAGCAGACAGAGTGAGTGGCAAGAAGCCGTGACCGTTCTGCAAGCTGTGGTCGCTGCGGAAGGTGGGGAGTTCAAGACCGGAGCCGCCCCACCGAACCCGCTCGTGAGGAAGATTGATTCCAGGCATGGTGCTCGCTGAAGGCAGTGCCGTTTTGTGCGGGGATCCTCAGAGTGAGGTGCCCTCGCGGCCCAGCCTCAGCATGACTGGGTTGCAAGCCGTTGATCGCCTGAAGTTTTTGACTGTTCTTTATTTGGGACACAGCAGCATGACCCATCTTGTCTTAGTGGCTGAAGCCGCAGTCCATGCACGTTCAACGTGTGTGCGCAGTCTTACGGCTGTGAATGCTTTTGATCCTATGCTCGGTCACAGCGCCGTGCGCCGACACAGGCCCCGTGTTTCAAGAGTGCAACAGACCATTCGGGGCCTAAGCGGATAGACAAGACAAGACAAGACTCGTTATTTTTTATGTAATGACCTTCACGCGTAACTAATTCTTCTTTGGATGCACATGGGAAGTTTTCAACTAATTCAATTTTGCAGTTGTCAAAGCCGTATTTATCAAAGATGTTATTTACACTTCTTACGCATGTTTCTTGTGATGTATTCTGGTTGAATTATTTTTGCTTATGGTGTATCATCCGTTTCGTCAGCGGTTCAATAGTTGACCCGTAGTAGCAGTCATTATACGCCACATCGGTTATTTTGTATATTTTGCCCTTTTGGTACTTATTTTCACTCATTATACTATTAGTTATCTTAACGCACCATTTCTTTAAACCTCTTTTCATGTGAGCTTACGTTACACCACAAGCAATAAGCACAACAATTGTCTAAATGATGTCCGTAATCATTACAGAGACGCTGAGCTGTAAAGTTGCTACATAACTTGCCTTGCTTCACTTCAAAATTGAATGCTGTATTACATGTCTCGCACCTGCTTTTAAACATTTTCAAACACCATTCGGGGGTTATGTATTCCTCCTTGTCTATTTCTCTCGCCGCTTTCCTGTCTTGTAGTTTGTAATTCTCCACGTTGTTTTTAAAGTATCTCATTATCATATTTTTATCCATTTGTTTATCAAAACTTGCGTTGTTGTAAAACCTGACTTTTCTAAAATCAACACAGCGTGTAATACTCGTCCAAACCCACTCCCTGCTTGCTATTGGTAAGATGTATTCGTGTATAGTTATACTCCCCTTTACACTCGCTCCCTGACTTGAATGACAGGTGGCGCAGTATGAATATATAAAGTTATTATCAACAATTGCCTCAAACAGCATAAACTGATCTTCATCATTTGCTATGTTCTGTAATGTTATTTGTGCTCCGAGTTCATCTTGCTCTATGTTCGTAATTCTATACCGTAGATTTACATTTACCCTTGGTTGTTTAATCCATTTTCTGGCAATGAGTATTTCGCCCACTTCGTATTTATCTTTCTTGTTTAACCTGTTTCTAATCTCGTTTGCTACATTTCGGCATCTTATGTTAGTGTAGGCGATGTTATGCTCCGATGCCATTATGTCGTCAGTCGTTTTAAAGTATTTCGGTATGATGTCTTGAATACGCAACTTGCTTTCCCAAAAGTCGTTATACATATTATTAATGATTTCCCTGTTTCTGTCTCCTTCTTCGCTGTCCTTCGCTCCTACTCTCTTACACACTTCTAGGAATATATTGTATTTAAATACTATATCTATGCAGTTGTCTATATAAACTGCTGGGTTCTGGCAGTTGGTCATAACTTCCACTCCCTGCAATTGTTTTACATCGCCCGTCCCAATAACGATAATATCAGGATTTTCTTTAATGAACCGTCTGACCTTATCCAAGACATGTAAGTTAGTCATATAAACCTCGTCAAACACCACCACATTGAAAGGGGAATAATCAAAAGCTGGCAGTTTTTCTCCCACATCTTCATGAACCGCGATGCTGAAAAACTTATTATATGTTGTCGCTTCTACTTCCTTTTCTTGTAAGAGTCTATTGGTTGGCACTACAAACAAAACATTCTTACCCATTTTTTGGAAATACTCGCCTATATAACTCTTGCCCGTGCCCGGGAACTTACCACGAATTATCACGGGGTTTCTTAACATAATTTTCTCGCAGATTGTTTTAGTGTCCCACTCGTCTTCAACCTCAACCTTTACATTACTAACTTTCGGGATTTCCGGCACTTCGTTAAACTTGTATGTGTATAACTGCGTGGGCAGGGTAATTGCTTTCTTTTCTTCCAGTCTCCAAGTGCCTATGCCAGTTCCAAATTTAAGCAGTCCTTCTCTCCACACACGACAAAAACTGTATCCATACACCTTATCCACATCGTCTTCGTGTATCGTCAAGCAATCTGTTTTAACACTAATTATACACCTTAATGTTATTATCGGATAATGTCTTGTATGCTTCATACATCTTAAAATTATGATATTGTAATAACAACTCTTTGATATACGTAAAACCATTTATTAAAGTCTTCTTTTCTGACACACTTAACACATAATATTTTGTTCCTTCTGTCTCCTTTGTTTCAAACTCGTCTTCATCCACGAAGTTCGGTCTGACACTCGCTTATAGTTTAAACTTTTCCACCGTAAATGCTTTGATAATAACATGCCTCCTTTAATGAAGTAAAGGTGCTACTTCACTGACTTGTGTTATGGGATTTCTCCAACATCCCGACGCTGATGTTCCATAATTTCTTTCGTGTTTGCTTGTTGAAGTCTTCGTCGTCTGTTATTTTTGTTGCATACAGTTCATCTATCAACCTTTTATAATCCATCTTGTAAATATTATTCGGTTGCTTATACCATAAGACTTTCAGTTTAATGTTATGTCTCAGCAGTTTCTTTAAAACTTGCCATAAACTAAGCAATACTTCTTATTGAAAAAATTGTTCCCTTCATACACCTGTACAATGTATAATGTCAGGCTGTTAAACTGGTCTGTGCTACAATTCTCATCAAAGGGTCTAAAAATGTCAAACTGTGTAAATTTTGGGATGTAGTTTATACTCCCTCCCGCGTGTGTAAATGCTTTGGTAATATCTATTTCCTTTATCTTCTTCATCGGTACATCTTTGCAAAACTTGCCAGATGGAACTATGGTGGATGGCTTACCATCCAGCATACTTCCATCTGGCATTCTGCCAGATGGAACTATGGTTTTACACTCTTTAAGGATTTGTATATCTACCTCGTTATAATAAGATAAATGATTTTCTTTAAACAGCTCTTTTTGTAAGTTAAACATAGTTGTAGTGATTTTGTTATACACTTCTTCATTATCAGTGATTACATCTTCATCAATTCGCTCTTGTGATAAACACTGTGAGACAATGTTGTATTTAATGTATTTCTTCAAGTTTTTGTAGTAAAACTTACATAAGATATTAGTAATCCTCCCCGCTTGATAGTTAATATGCGGTTTGTATCCTGCTTCGTTCAGTTGATGAAAGACCTTAACCAAATCATTATCCGAATGTATCACGGCGTATTCTTCTTTATCTGTCATTTTCAGCAGTTCATCTACATTGTCAAACATTTTATATTCAACGGGTTCAGTCTTATCGGTGATGTAAAACTTGCTTGTTGTAAAAGCATTGTAGTTATCCTTCGGTTGAACTTGTCTTAATGTGTCTAAATCGTGGTTTACTAAATATATATGATTATTTTTAACAAGTCCTCTGAATATTCTTACCCGCCCCTTCTCATAATTGTCAGGGTTATATTCGTAAATCAGAGCACCTGTAAAGTTGTATAATCTAACTGGTATATTGAAGAATTTAAAGACCTTATCCATTTGGTTTATAGTCGCCCCCGTATTAATAAATTCATCCTCTGTCATATTCAGCAGTTCAAGGACTTTATCGCGGGTCAGTGTTTTTGTGTTCTTTTGTTGCCGCTTTTCTCTTGTTAGGTTAGTTCCTTCAAAGTTTTCCAGTAAAGCATTTACCCAACATTCGTTTTCTCTGTAGCTCTGCTTGTGTAGCGCTTCTTTCATATTCTCCGCTTCGGCATTAACTTCGGTTTGAATGTATCTTTAATGCTGTTGCCTTGTTGTAATGGTTGTTCTCTCTCGTCGTATCCACCTGTGTCTGTCTCAACAATCTTATACTTAACATCGTAATTTCTCCTGCCTTTGAAAATGTCTTTTGCCTTTGTTGATAAACCACCAATTGCCTTTCTTTTGAACGCAGGTTGTTTATCGTTTTTTCTTACAACTTCCTTAACTTCCTTGCCCTTCCTCGCTTTCTTTACTGTTGCTTTCATCCTTTCCGTTATTGGTGCTTTGTCCTCATATTTTGCCACTGCCTTTACATATTGCTTTATTCCTTTTTCCTTGCTTTTGCATTGCCCATCGTTAAACCGTTGATTAAATTAACAGCTGTTGTGAATTGTGATATCTTGCGGTCTTCGTATAAGTTTATGACATTGTTAATTTTTGTCATTGTT